TGTTCTTTTTGTGTTCATTGCGCAGGGATCTGAATACAGACAAAATTAAACAAACTAAATATTGTACTAGGAAGAAAAGGTTAATGGAAATGAACCGGGGCACAGAAAAAGAAGGAGGGGTCTATCTCTGAGGAAACGGACAATGAGCTGGCGCATTAACCACAATCTCAGCCACGCAAGTGGCGCAAAAAAAAAAACAGACCCTAAATATAATCGCAGACTGTTGGCAGCTCGCTGCTAGCAGCAGGTTGAACAGGGTGGAGTTTTACATTTTTTGTTTCTAGAATAGAACTATAACCGGAAAACTGTGCTCTTTTCATAATGGAGGTTGGCTGCATGTAAAAGCTGCTGATTGGCACATGTCCGTCTTTCCTGACGATAGTGTTATACTGTGTTACGAGGAGGCATGGAGCTGACATGGAGAGTGTGACTAGCAAGACCTGCTTGCGTTAAGAAAAGTCTTCCACAATTATAGCATAGGATTTCAGGACAGTTGTGAACATTAGTGTTTAGCGTCTTTTCAGACGCTTTCTCTCATCCTTTCTGCAATTATTTCTGTATGAAAGCATGCAAGCAACGAGAAGGATTTTTTTTTTCTGAACCACGCATCACGGGATTCGAAACCTGGTACACGCCGAAGAATGCCCTGTGAAACCGTGTCACTAACCTCTTAGTCACAGAATAGCAAGGAACTGTCTGTAAAGTAAAGGACCTTTCTAAGGTCTTTAGTTTTTCTGAATCTATAGTACTAGACCTATCTTTTATAGACTAAGCGGCACTCAGTAACTTACCAAGACAGCAAATCAAATGGTTTGCCCACTTAGAAAGTAATGCCTTGTGGCGCCATATTATTCAAGGCATACATAAAACAGAGGAGATGGATGTATAGCACAAGTTATACCAGTGGTTTCTAAGGACGCAATAAAGTTTCAAGGGGGCGTCAAGCAACTGTTTAATTGAGTCCATTAGTACATGCCCCAAACTGTTACACACAAATCCCCCCCCCCCCCCCCCCCCCCCCCCCCCCCCCCGTTTAGTAAAAATGAATGACCCTTTTCCATACCTTCCGGTAGATTGGGCATATAGGGGTAGACCTAAATTATATAGACCAATCGGCATTCGACAAGTTATGTGTTCAACATCACTAGGATTTTTTAAGTTTAACTGTAAGTAAAATATGGCTCTTGACATGGCCAACTTTTTTTTCCCTTCTGTTTTGCTATCATGTGACGTTAGTGGTCAGGTCTAGCTACTGAGTTCTGTCTTGAAGACCGCCAATAATTTTTACAAGCCTTAATAACTTTATACTATGGTGCCAAACATACACATTCTTTCTTCATGTCTGTCTGTCTGTCTGTGTGTCTGTCTGTGTGTCTTCCTGTGTGTCTGTCTGTCTGTCTGTCTGTCTGTCTGTCTGTCTGTCTGTCTGTCTGTCTGTCTGTCTGTCTGTCTGTCTGTCTGTCTGTCTGTCTGTCTGTCTGTCTGTCTCTGCTTCCCCCCCTACTTTTCCTATTGTCACGACGTAGTCCACTTATCTTCCTCTAATGACATGCCGTGGACGGGAGGAAAAAGGGGGGGGGGGGAGACATTGCTTGCCCGCTTCTGATAAAGTAATGTGTTCTGTGTGTTAATTTCTTACACACACGTTCATTCTCTTTTTGTTTGCCCATAGTGCTCTCATTATTCTTATATAGAAGCACATTTCGGCGGCTGCCACAAAATTACATTTTGTTTAGTTCTAATTAAGTGTTTGTGTTTGGGGGCGTATTGTTGTTGTTAAAGACTGGCACATCCGCTTTTAAATAGCTCTTTTATTTAGCACTGGCTCACTAACTATCAAATAAATCAAGATTTCACAGACAAGCGGCAGTCTATTGTCCACACGATGTTCTCATTATTGTGCTATAGATTGTCTGCTAGAGGAAAGAAATCTCGTGTAAGTGAAAGTTAGCAGCTCAAGACGTAAATCGTAAATTTGATGGCTTCTAAAACTTTAGTAATCAAGGTAAACATTTTCTTCTAATTCCTAGCAAACGTTTTAGTCTATTTAGAATCCTTAACTCAGACTTAAGTGATGAAACTTGTGGTGGATTTCAAGAAATTATTGCAGATTATTTTGCAGAGACTGCCGTTGCATTGACTCATCCGGTACTGGGTAGAAGCGATGTTATCAATACCATAAGCAGCATTTACACGCAAGTGAAAGGTTTAGACGACGGATCAACATCACGGCACAAGGATAGTAACTAGGCTGTACCGAATAGTGATTTTCACAATTCAGCCGAAAACGAATAGCGGGACCAACTATTCGGCCGAATACAAATAAGAAAAGTGTATCATCATCATCAGGTGCCTTGCCGACTATCGTGGGCGATTATGCCTCGCCACAGTCATGCAGCATATATCAGTTCGTGTGCTGAGACACCTCAATGCCATGCAGCAAGACTGTCAAGAATCTTCTCTCCTTGTCTTCCTCTATCCATCCTTCCACAGATCTTTCCAGTGGTCACAACATGTTCCATTTTCCTTCTTCTCATAACATGGCCGAAAAAATGATGACTGTTTCCTTCTGACGTCTGTGATTAGTTGTCTTCGGGCTCCCGCCTCTTTCAAAACCTCTTGGTTGCTTTTTTTTTTTTTTTTGCTGTCCAAGGTATTTTAAGCATTTTTCTGTAAAACCTCATCTCTGAGGCCTCAAGAAATTGTTTGGCCTGCCTACTGATTGTCCAGAACTCACAACGCATTGCCTTTAAATATAAGTGCTTACTTGACGAGGCTAACAGTTGCTATTGTACAGACCACATTCTCCACTTTAAAATTTCAGCCAAAATGTAATCACAACCTTACTTATCCGCTGCATCTTCACGAATACAGATGGAGGATCGGTCGCACCTCGAGATAAATACAGAGACAATTTTTATCACGCTGCGGTTTGCATTTTAGGCAGTATGATATACATTGAATGTGAAACAAGGGGAAAAAAAACAACTCTTTTTGACAGTGGCGAGGAAAGACAACTTAAATGTTAACTTCTAAGTATCTTCACGCCTTCTTTAATAATGTCACAATTTATAGCCGACTTTTCTTGATTTTCGCCGCGGCACCCCTGGCATACGCACTCAGTTTGAGAACCTCTGCTGTAATGCCTCGATCGAGTCAGCAGACAAAGACCTTGTCAGCTGGGGTACTACGCAACCGGGTCGCAGTTTCACCCCGCTACGACAGACTTAGGCAACAGCAACTATTGTGTTAAAGAGAAAGTTTTTAGTAAGGTAACCACTATTAGTATTCGGCCCGACCGCAAGAATTCAACCGAATACTGAATAGTTATTAGGTCCACTATTCGGCCCCGAAGCGAATACGAAGCGAATATTCGGTACAATCCTAATAGTAAGCCATAAGTGCTCTGTTCTATTTCTGACTCAAGTCTGAGTTCGAAGAATCTCAGCGCAGTGCACGAACTCCTTAGCACTGGCTAGCCTCGGTAGCGCAGTAGGTAGCGCGTCAGTCTCATAATCAAGCAAATGAATACTGTGAAGGGCACGACTCCGTATCCCTGTCCAGGCTGATGGACATCCAAACGTAACCTGGAGCTGCAAGAACCAAAAATGTTACCACGGGCACAAGACAATTGAGCTATCAACGATGAGCAAGCGTCTTCAGCAGTTTTAAGCTGGTGGGGCTACTGGGGAGAAACCCCTATTGACATATCAGACTTCTGGTCTGAAATGGAGGCTAGGGATTGCATAATGTTAACCTTCGAAGCTATTTTTGTTTTCGTGTTTTCGACAGCACTTTGCTAATACAGTTTCCACACATTAACGGTGGTCTACAGCTTCGCTGTCTGAGCTACTGAGCTTAGTGCTTGGTGCAGCCGCGTGAGCTGTATTTTTTCATGGTGAATACCTTTCATGTGTGCGCGGTTGAGTCGTGGTATTCAATGTGGCCGGTAGCCGGTTTGAGTGTGAGATGGTGGAATACCGTATGTAATAATTCTACGTGTGTGTAACCAAGTCATCGTTCCCGGCAACCCCTATGAAGGTACAAACTGCATTTCTGTTGGCGACTGCTGGTTCTGGCGCCTCTAGCAACTGCCACATGTATTTACTGCGTGAGGGACCTTTTATTTCATTTTCACTGCACAGGAATGGAGCAAGTGTGCGGCAATCAGATTGCAGTGAAGCTGAAACCTCGACTAATACTAAGACTAAAACCTAATGGATATATCCGGATAGCTGTGATGATAATCATCACTAATCACTAATCATTAATCCAAGACATTGTTAAGGTGGAGTGGCAGCGCTGTTCAACATGCAACTATAGTTCGTTCAACAACTCATGAACACGTATGCAAGCCATTTTCTCGAAAACTGCCAGTTTGATCACAATTATTTTTTTTCACGCACTCTTAATATATCCATGTCGTTAAGAAAGTTTTTTTTTTTTTTTTTTTGGTTCAATAAAGAAGAAAATTATTTGTAATTTTTTCCTCCCTTCTTTACGAAATATATTTTATCATGAAACCGTCTTGGTAGACTTTTGGAAGGTTTACTTTCATTTTTTTCAGGAAGTAATGCACACTATGACTGGTTTAACAGGGGGTCAGAAAAAAACTACTTAATGTCATGATTTGTTCGTGCAAATTCACACTATTAGTGATCTGAAGCCAAATATAGGTCAAGGCTGTTTAGTCAAAGGCATCCTCAAATTAGTGTTCAGTTATTGTGTCACATAGCTAGCTTATAAAAGTGGACGTAGACATCAATTTCAAAATGAATTTGAGATGCACATTTATAACTGTGCAGAAGGTTACCGTTTTACTGTACCAGCACTTCCTCAGGGAATCTAAGATGGGTCATTTATATTGTGATATTCGTGACCCAGAGAAACGAACACGATTGGCGTTTGGTCTGGATACAGAATCATTTAACCGTTGTATTAGACACGACACAGAGTACACTCATTTCAAGCAAGAGGGGAAAATGAAAGTTGACATAGTA